AACTATAAGAAGTAATACGCTAACTCTAGCAGTATGTTAGCTATATACTAGGGACTTTGTAATTTAGCGAAGGAGAAGGACAGCAGCGAGGACATAACTGTAGGTGCTTTCGCATGACTGGGTTCCAGCCCTTAGCCGAAACGGGGTCCTTCACTGCACATGGCTCCCTTCCAAAACACCCGATTTGTCGTCATCGACCTAGCAACTAGCATGTTCCTACCCCAGGTTCTGGTGCTCGGGATCCTGCCGAAGGAACGGGGCGTATCCGAAGGAAGCTTCGGTGACATTGATCGGCTACCCATGTCAACGATCCTGGTAGGTTGCATGCATGCCATTGCAACGACACGCGGTCTCATACAAGGAACGTCTTTCGCAAGTACAGTACTGATACAATTACCACTGCAAGTTCTGGTTTTCCATTGCATTTTGGCGCGATGGCAACAGCCACTCAAGGTGCTTCTGTCAACCTTCTCGAATGCTGACTATATAATAGCGCTACAACACCAATTCCTTCACATACGACCATAGTTTCAGGATAATAGCGCTTCCCGTTCGCTCAGCGGTACTCAAGCCTGTAAACGGCGAACTAGTAGTCAGGTGGGTGACCACTGGCGAATCCTCGCTGTTGTATGTTTTTTGCATTTTTTTTTTGCATACCAGCAAAATTTACTAAGCTGCTTCTCTTTTTCCAACCTCGTCACCAGAAATTCACTCCGCGGACGGCTACTATCCGCGTGTCCAGCGTACCCGAATTTGGTCATCGCATCGAGACGTCCAGCAAAACAACCTGCATACCACTAGCTATTGCTTCTGCTGCGAACTCCTTACGAACTTCGCCACCGAGGCGCAGACTATTACTTGCTACTGTAACTAGAGTTGTTATGCATAGAAAATGTTTTTGCTTGTCTACATTCCTTTTGGTAAACAGGTCCGGCAGACAAACCCACACCAATCCAAACCAACGGAGCTGAAAATTCGAGCAGGGCGGAATGAAAGTGACGTCTGAGCTAGAAGGAATCTACGAAGACGGCGAATGGTTAGCACGCATAGCTGACGTTACGTGGTTTAGTCAAACAACCACTTCGTTACTGTTGTTTTCTATCGGCCCGTCGCATTACCTTTTCGTACCTGCATTTCCCCACTTCCTCAGCGACAGACTACGACATGCACCTCCTTCTAATCTTGACTAGTCGCATCGATGAGTACCGAAGTACGCTGCCGTCAACGTACGTATGCTACACTTGCTTTTACTCGGGTCGAGAGCCTGCCGGAGTCGCGTCGAGCGTACCCGACCATCTCCCAAGCTCTCTACACGGCCTGGCGTCGATCGTTAGGACCCTGGTTCGCCCGAAAGATCGTTAACATCTTATTGGGTGACTCGTATGCGCATAGAGACGTACTGTTTGACGATATAGTGTGGTGATGCTGGTGCTTTACGACTCTTTTTCGGCGCTTGGGGGACATGCTAAGTACAACACCAATCTGAACGAACTCATCTCTTTACTATTCTCGAACATACCGCGCGAGCAGCATGTTTATTCAGCACAAGAGATGACATCTGGATCGCGCATGACGATCTCGGCGATCCGCGCTTCGTAAGCCTACAGTAGCATCCCTCTAAATTACCCCTCAGCAGTTCAACCAAATTCTCGAAGTCGGGTGCAGTACCAGAGTCACCAGATGGAACGAACTGGGCTGATCGGTGGGAGCTAATCTTATCCTGTGAGGAGCGAGCAGATCTCGAGTGACGAACATCCGTACGCGAGATACTCGGATATTGTTTCGAACCGGAGGTCGTATTTCCCAGTTTCGTCGCATGAGTAGGAGATAAGAAACCGGATTGCTGAAATTCCTTCAAAAAGGAAGGGAGATGAATCGCTTTATGGTAGAATAGTATCTAGGTTACAGTAGATAAGCAAGAGAAGTAACACGTGATCTTGAGTCTTTGGGGGAAATTGAATTACATACCTCACTACGACAACAAGCTATAGCGAAGAGGATAGACTGCATAGAGCGCACTGCTGATAACCACATATCAAAGACACCACTTCACCTTTTCCCAACATTCAACGACTCACCATCACTCCCCGTTCGTCACTGCCACGCCTCTCTCTACATGTCCTCATCCTAGACTCATAGCAAACGCCCCTACCAACCTTCCTCTATATTCAAACACTTCCCACTCTCCACTTCCCACTATCTCCAACCTTCAAGCATCTAAGATTTTCCATATACAACATCATGGGCTGCATACCATCAACACCCAAACCCACCACTGCGCTCAAACCCATCCCTGCCCCCACGACTAACCCATTCTCCATACCCGACCCTAATGCCATTAACCCCAACACCACTAACCACCCACGACCATTCCGAAGAAGTCCAATCTACGATCCACCCGAGTACACGGATGCCAGTAAGCTGAGGTATAACCGCGAAAGTAGCGGGGTGTATAGAGGCGCATCGGGGAGTGTGTATAAGAGCAATAGAGTGTCTGATGCGACGGATATAGGGGGAGATGGAGGTGGTGACGGAGGTGGAGGTAGTAATGGGCATGACAATGAGCATAGTCATGATCATAACCAGAGCCATAGTCATGGACACGGTGGTGATAGTGGAGGGCATGATGGTGGATACAGTGGTGGAGGTAGTGGTGCAGGAAGCTAAGTGCTGTGAGCGATGAAATTTGATGAACGATGGAGATGGTAGGGAGCGAAGAAATGGTGTAATGGTTCTCGTTTTGTCATTGTAGCAAATATGATTTTGGGTATCTTTGCGCCGTTGCTGGTGAGCCAGCCTTGTACCTCTCCACTGTGCTTGCGACATGTTGTAGGCACTTATGAGCCTCGCTCGTCGTCATGTTGTCCTTCTCTTTAATGTGAGATGATCTTTCCTCTGCCTTCATACACGGCCGTGTCATGACGACCCCCTCACCGCATCATACGAAACGGATGCCCCTCAGTGCTAAACACCCAGCTATCCAAACTCGCGACCTCGACATCCGAAAACGTAAGCCAAAGATACTTCAACGTTTCCGCAGCCCAGAAGCTCTCTTGCATATCAACCCATTTGTCCTCGCCCTTTGACTTTGTATCATACACATCAGCCAGTTGTGCGTATCCAAATGGCGCTTTGCAATGCTTTTCCATAGCGGAGAAAGCTTCCCATGCCCACTCGCGATACCGTTTGTCGCCTGTTATGCGCCATGCGTAGAACAGGCTCTCCACATACTCAGGCCGGCCTTTGTATGCTGGTTCTAGCGCCCAGATACCGCTAGCCATCGCTTCTCGCTCTTGACGGGCGGTCTCGGGGACGAAGAGCGGGTCATCGTATCCGAATTTAGGTATCCATGCCCATGTCTCTGGACCGATCTTGGTGGGTGTGGAGGTATACGAGTGATGGCAGCCTTCTAGGAGCGCGAGCGCGAAGGTACGGAGGTAGGGTTCGTTGTAGAGTCTGGATGCGAGGAGAATGGTACCGGGCGCGAAGCAGGCGAGATGGCCTTGCTGATTTTCATATTCTTTGTTGTATCGTCCGATGTAGAGGTGTTGCATGTAGTGATCGGGTGCCGGCGCGGAGCGGGAACTGAGATGCTTGCGCAATGAGTATGCCGCATCTGTGAAGCGATGTTTGTATGTGCCGAGATGGGGATCTGTTGGCGGTGCTAAGAGCGTCATCTTGACGAGGTACTCGTAGTATGAATCGTGTCCACCATCCCAGTGCCTCTGACGGCCCACTGGCTCTCCTGTCATGATGTCGACAGGCGCGTCAACCATGCCTGGCCACGGTGTCTTCCACTTCGACCATACAAGTGGCGCCCACGCGTTCGTCGAGTTCTGCGTGTATGTCAAGTTGCCAGTCAGTCTGGTCAAGACGCGATTCTCGAGGATGGAAGAGCCAGTTCGCGCAGGGCCTATAGCGGGGTGTTGGTCGTAGCCGTGTTTGGTTGGGTCGTCGCTGAAGACGAAGGAAGGATCTGGCTCGCCCTGCTCTGTTTCAAAGTCGACACGAGGCCATGGCATGCCTGTGGGGGTGTCGTATGCTGGAGCAAGCTTCCCCGCTAGGGTGACAGCATGCTCGAGTACAAGATCGCGTGCCTCTTCGCTCAGTACGTCTTCCGGAATGAGCCCGGTGTCATACATATCCACAATAGACAAAAGCCCGCCCAGGTATCGTATGGTTGTCTCGAAAGGGTCGACGAGGTCCTTCGCTTCGGTGAAGTCGATCGCGAGTATATGCTCGAGAGAATGCGCCAGCTCGTCCCATAGCCCCATGAGCGCCAGCGTGCTCGCTGAGTCCACGATGAAAGCTCCCCACCCATTTCTGGATGACGAGTTGCCTCCCGATACAGGCAGGATATCATCGCAGCCCCAGGCGTTCTCCCTGTACTTCCAAAAGGTATATTTCATGGCATCCCGCACGCTCTTCGCTCGTGCCTCGTCCGCCTTGCCTGTTCCGTTCCAATCCGCATGTTGTATTTGTGCGCCAAACTTTGGTATATCCCTGTCTCGAACAGTCGGGTTCTGGAACTCTTTGATGAGGAGGTACAGGGTGATGACGATGATGGCCGCGAGGAGCTTGAACGACGACTCGGGGTTCCGCTCGAATTTGGACTTGCCCCAGCGGCGGAAGCCGGGCATAGTTAAAGAGTGGTGGATGCCTTATGATGCTGGCGGAGGCGCTCAAGAGGCGGGTGGTAATAGCGCGCACATCTGCCCAGGTGGTCTCAGGGTGCGTAGTGGGTGCGGAGGTGCGGCGATCGATGTTCAAGGTTCCAAGCTATGAGACCATACTTGGCTCGAACGGGATGACTATTGCGTGGTGAATGAAAGAACGGTGCTTAATGCTAATGAGTGAATGTACGAGACGAGTTTACACATGTGAGCGCTGACGTCGTGTCATGCTCGAGTCTGAGAGCTGCTCAGGCTTGGCGCTGAGCCCTCAGCGTCGTCATCGCGAACTTTGCGACACCAACGCGTGTGCACATCCTCAACCTCGACATGGCTGTCTGGCAGTACGTGCGCACCCTGAATACGTATGTTCCTACCACTAACATTGAGATAGATGGTTCAAGAACATACCGCCCAAGACGCGCATGATCATTGGGGTGGGCGTCATGGCGTACGCGGGCGCTGGTCTCTACATATCCGACAAGGCTGAGGAGAAATTCGGTCTCACCCCAACCGACCAAGATAGAGAGCAACTGCGAGATGTGATACCCAAGGTTTCAACTATTGAGAAGCGAACGCCATGATTCATCAAATCCTGCCCTCCACAAGATCTATTGATTCCCAGGAGGACACTGCAGACATGGTGAGTATAAAGCAAGAAGCCCTTGAATGCGAGGAACCAGCGAGACGTGGTTTTGATAATTCCTAGGGATATCCACAGCCTCATTCCCATCATGTCGCTTCGGTGTGTCACTCGGATAGAGAGGCTAAGACGAGCAGTCGGCGGCAACGGAACTTGTCACTCATGTAGTCGTCGCTTCCTGACTACTCATACTACGATCGCTTTTTGCGAGGCAGTGCTAAGAGAGAATGAATTCGCCTATCCGAACCCAACTAGGTGTCATCAGTTCGCCCTCCAATGCTTAACGACCACACTTTGTCACTAAACATTTCCACAGCAGCCACCGAGGCTATGTGTGGCTGCCGCGAGTTCCAACACGGTATAGCGTCAGGCAACAGGGTCCATCGCTATACCACATCTGCCTGCATACATGGCGCAGTACATGAATACGACACAACCTTGACGCTTACCTAATGACGATCATTTACCCGACGGTGCAAACCTGAATCTGTTTGTTGCATTATCCATGGCGTTGCATTCGTCGACGTTGATATACAACACCAACCACAGCTGAACCAATGGATCCTGCATCGTCGCCTGCGCACCACACGAGAGGGAGAAAACGCCACCGCGCCGATTCGCCGTGTGACTACTGCGGACTAGTATCGGTACCATGTGTTCCAGCCCTAAATGACGCTGAAGCTCGATGTAGCAATTGCATCCTTTTGGGAAGAGAGTGCGACCGGGATGGCACTTGGAAGAAGGTAGCCAAGACCAGAAAGCAAACCTCAGAGATTTGTAGCGGGTGCCGCGAGAGGGGGCGGACATGTGCCTTCGTGGGAACGTCAACGTCCTGTATCGCTTGTACAGTATCTCAACAAGGTTGCTATATTCCAAGCAATCCCACTAATGCTGCGTATGCCCGGTCTATGGAGGAAGCTCACCAGACAACCCAGAAAGCATTGGAAAGACAAATGATGCGAGGTCTTTACATGTCATCAAGTGATGATTCAGACGAGGAAGAGGAAATGGAAATACGAGCGATGCGAGGCCGTTCCACATCACCAAACCATTATTCAGATAACAAGAGAACACGGTCACAGTCGCCAGGGGACAATTTCTACCATAGCGGCTCACCGGTTCGTACTGGCTCACCTATTCGAGCAGGATCACCCGCTATTCACGGTACACCAACACCGACCTTCGTGGAGTTGGCCTTGAAACCTGTTCATGAACAGGTTTACGGCTTCACATACTTCAACACATTAGCACAATATCGATATACTCCTCTGCTGGATAACGAGATCCGGCTTCTTCGTATCTCACCTGGATCTTCGGAGAGTAGGCTGTTATGCTCTCTAAAGGTTTTCTCACTGGACAAGCTCGTGACTAAGCTCCACGAATTCCAAGCCCTCTCGTATGCGTGGGGTGACGACACTCCTACGCACGAGGTCTTCTTGAATGATCTTCCCAGATCAGGCAATGCCGATTCGTCTGATACCGCGCGGATGCACTACGGGAAATACCTCATCCGCGAAAATCTTAATCAAGCACTCCGACGCATCCGTCTTACGAATGACTATATATGGCTTTGGGTTGATTGTCTGTGTATCGAACAAGGAAACGAGGAAGAGAAAAGTCGGCAGATTCCAAAAATGCCTTCAATTTACTCAAGCGCCTGGAATGTTATTGCCTGGCTTGGAGACGACTATCGTGGCGCCAACATCGGGGACGCTGTCCGTCTGGTACCGGATGTACTTGACCTCAATAATCTTGACTGCCACGTCCAAGGGGGATTGATGTTTAGGGATAAGTTCTTCGCGCGCTGGGTAGCTTTCGGTCGCATTCTGCGGCGCCCTTGGTTCAGGCGTCGGTGGGTGATTCAGGAAGTTGCCTGTGCAAGAAGACTATCGGTGCGCATTGCGGATAAAATTCTGAGCTGGTTAGACTTTGCAGATGCCGTAGACCTATTCTCGGACCATTTGGATCAGATGCGGATACGCTTTCGCCATTCGGAATACTACGAAAAAGTAATGACCATCTACGGGAATACTGATAGTTCAGCGGCAGTGGCGCTTATGAGATTCTCGCGCAACGTATTTCAGAAGTCTCCAGATTCATCAATTGCTTCGAGACTAATGAGCCTAGAGTCTCTGGTGCTGACAGCTTCGCCTTTCGCAGTGTCGAATGCTCGAGATACTATCTACGCTCTACTATATCTTGCCAACGACATGCAACAAGTCATTGACACCTCGTCGGGATCTCAGTTGCGACGGATTTTTGCTCCAGATTACTTGAAGCATCCCATCGACATCTTCAAGGATTTTGTCCGTTATAGCATCGCAAAGTCCAAGTCTCTTGATGTGCTCTACCGACAATGGGCTAGTTGGTCGCAACTGACTACTCAACATGACTACCATGAAAGGGTCCTTCCCAGTTGGATCGGCGTCGCGAATGTTGACGAGGTACTCCCAGATCATCAGCGCGACGCGCCTTTGGACGGCTTCCTCGGACCTGTTGGCTCTCAGACGTATCATGCATCTCAAGGGATCGACTTCCAGAAACAGGCAATACCATCCATGATTGACGATATCATACAGCCCAATGGCATCCTGCTGGGTACAGTTGAAATGATTTCGTCCTCGGCTGTCCACAAAGGCTTCCTCGAGGATGACTGGCTGAAAATGCTTGGATGGCGTGGAAGTCTAGACAAAGGCATTGATGATCGGCTCTGGAGAACCCTTGTTGCGAATCGCAATCCAGATGCAAAAACAGCACCCACCTGGTACCGACGCGCATGTGCCTTAGCACTCACACGACTCGACGGCAACAATAACCTAGCTTCGGAAACTCTATCAGCCTCTACCCGGCGGCCGAGCACCTTAATCAACTACCTCAGACGCGTACAAGAAGCTACTGCCAATCGGAAAATCTTTCGTTGTGCAAATTCCGATCTTGGTGCATTGGAGGGCATTGTGGGATTAGGACCTGGGGACATGTCTCAAGAAGACGAAAATCTGCTTTGCATTTTGTACGGATCTTCGGTACCAGCCATACTTCGCGTGATCCCTGGGCCTAATTTGCAAGATGATCATACTCTTCACGTCAAGCTCGTCGGACCCTGTTATGCACATGGGCACATGGAAGGAGAGATATTCGCAGGTATGAGCGAGACGGAAATCAAGAAAAGAACGATAAAGTTCAGCATTCATTGAACTTTGATTGGCTGTATCGATACATGAGCTATTTTACAAATCTCCTCGTACGCAGTAACACGATGAATAGTCGATCCGCTCTACTCCTCATCTGGCTCTCTCACTCACATCTCCTACTTCCATTCCTCCGGCCACTTATCCTTGTCATTACTATAATCCGGCAACTCGACGCTCTTGTTCTCTCCTCCAGTCTCAATCACTCTTGTCTGTGGAAACAATTGCTCTTCGCAAAAGTTCTTCAGACCCTCCTTGTTCTTTATAGCGTACTTTTTGCGCTGGTCAAACGTTCCCAAACTCCTCCATAGCCTGATCTCTTTCACACTCGCGTCCGTCAAGGGGTTCTCGGCAGCCCAGGTCTGAAACGTTTTCCTGTATATACGCTCGAGGTAGCAGCGTGCGATATGCGCCTTCATCGATAGCAGTTTTTCTCCGATATCGTCAAGCAGTGGTTTTTTCACGTTAGATGGAAGTTCCTTAACCCAAAGGAGGAGATCAGACTCTTTCATAACGCGGAAATCCGGGGCTTCGCCTTTGCGCCTCTTCTTTGCCCGTGCATCTGCTTCTGCCTCGGCACGTTTCCGTTTGGTACTCGTGGTCGTATTCTCCGGTTCGTCCTCAACATCAGACTCAGACTCAAACTCTTCCTCCTCAGATTCAGAGAGTCCAACCAGATTTCCAGGGTCGGTATTCTCAGGCTGGGCAACCACGGGCTCAAAGCTCGAATTTACCGAGTTTCGCGCCACTGCTTCGTACACGTAGCTCTTAGGATAAAAACCGGCACTTCCCTTGAAAGAAATATCACCAAGCTCCTTGACGCTCTCGTTCAGCTTCGCAATCACCTCGTCGACCTCTACTTCTTCACGCCCCTGAAAAACTGGGTGTTTCAGCCAAACCTTCATGTCCACGGAAGACAAGTCTTGGAAGCTACTGAAAAGCTTTTGTAGAACAGATTTCCGGCTCCAAGCGTCCATTGGGCGTGTAATATCGGCGATTTTGGACGGAAGCAGATCGACGAACTCTTCAACTTGATTACTTGCCATATGCGTGAAGTTGGCAATTTCTTGGGCAAGCATGTTATTGATCACGAGAATGTTCGGGAGCTCCGGTTGAGGTGGAGCTGGCTGGCTTGAGGCCTTTGGACGGTTCGTAGTTTTCGAGGGGTTTGACGGTTTCGACGTCTTTGAAGGCTTCGAAGTCTTTGCAGGTTTTTGAGATCCTGAAGGCCCTTTAGGTTTTGGTGAACCTTTTCGTCTTGGAGCTGTTCCTTTGGCGGTCGATACAGGCTTGCTAGAGGTCTTCTCGTACTTCTTCTTCATTCGTTCCAATATCTGTTTTGGAGAGGGTCGGATGACCAGTCCGCCATCTTTCGCGTAGACGTCACGTTTGGGAATTTTATCCTCAGAACCTAGCGTAAAGACATTGAGATCACGGATCCAGATACCAGCACGGTCTTTCTCATTTTTGAACGTCCCACCGTGTTTCACGAAGAGGATGGCCCTGTACGTGTAGTCGTTTGATAGTTCGCCAATTCGTGGGTCTTCTCGAATCTCTTTTGTCGCGTGCTTCATGAGCGTGGCGTGGTCGATCGTGGCCCACTGGATTGTTTTCGGATCTGGTTGTGCAACATTAGATGCATCATTAGGGTCGGATGAAGGCTGGCCGGCGTTTGGATCATCACCTGCATCCACTTCCTCGCCGCTTCTCTTCCTCTTCTGTCCATGTGCCTCTCGATGCTCACGAGGCGACC